TGCTGCCACTGGCTGTCCATCGCTCGGCCGCTGGTCCGCTGGCTGCGAGTCCTGACGCAACCACAGGGACGGCACTCGGGTCAGCGTGTCCGAACGGTTCTGAGACGAGCGGACTAGAGACACGGTGAGAGAAATGTCCAGCTCTGCGACCAGCTGCCTGATGACGTCGACCCGCCGGCGGATAAGCATCTCTCCATGTGCCTTGGTTCGCAGTCTCGCGCGCCCGCTCAGAGCGTCGCTGACCCACCGGTGAACAGTGGCGGAGTCCGTCTTCAGCTCGATGGTCTTCATGTCCCACGCCAGGGCCAGGTTGATGCCCCGCACGGCGGCGTCGAGCTCCGCCATGTTGATGTGGGTGGCCTCGTCCCGGCGGAGCCAGCACGCGTCCTCGATGACGTCACCTCCCTCGCTCTCCAGCACGACGCCGGCGGCTATCGAGCTAGCGTCCGTCCACAGTACGGCGCGGTGCCCAGTCACGCACCACTGCCCACGGGCCGGGTCCTCGCTCGCCAGTCGCTCAGCCACGTGCTTCAGCTGTTCCCGCAGGGCCGCGTCGTGTGTGACGTCATCCCACCCGCGTGTGAGAGAGTTGACACGACGCTTCAGCCACGCTGTCGCTGGTCTCAGCCAACCGCAGACCGGCAGGTGCGCCACGATACGACCACACCATGAAAACACGGAGCGCCGCGTCATTGCCGCGGGCGGTGAGCCGACTGGGTTGTCACGCCTCCAGGCCAGCCCACCCCTGACTGGCTCCACCCGCAGTCCCAGCAGCCGCGCTCCGTCCGCAGCCCGCTCCGGCGGCTTACACTGGAGCCCATAGCTCGCGAAGTGGGCGATCACGCGCTCCGCGCTCACCACGTCCTCATTGACGCACAGATCGTCGACGTACGGTATGACGGCGCCCTGCATCACTGGGTCCTGTTGCAGCACCGTCCGCACCACCGCCTTCATGATGAGAGGCGCGACGTTGAGCCCGAATCCGACACGGGTAAGAGCGTACCTTTGGCCATCAATCACGACTGTCTGAAACGGCCACAGCCGACGATCGGTCCTGAGCTGCAAGTACGCCCTCTTCAGGTCGACGACGGCGACGTTGGCCCCGTGCCGCCGCCATTTCCTCAGCGTGTCGGCACATACGTCAGCGTCGGCCGTGTGTGCCTCCACATGGCTGTTGAGCTCGCGGCAGTCTAAGACTGGTCGTACTTTAGTCTTGTTCTGCTGTTCAACAGCCATGAGAGGGATCAGCCCACGCGGCGGCCCGTCCACCGTCTCGTCGTACGGCTCCAGCCAGCCGTTGTCGATCCATGTACGGAGTTCAGCATCAAACTCCTGCCGTGCCTCGGCCGGCACGCCGTACTGGGGGACACCGTTCCTCAGGCACCCTGGCTCCGCCCCGTTCCGCCACTTCCACGCCACCGTCCAGTGTTGACTTTTCGCGTCATAAGTGACCGTGAAGTCTCGCTCTTCCACGGTCAACGCCGGGGGCGTCACGGCGCTGCATCGCGGCGGCACCCCTCCCGGGCCCGGCACGGCCACGTCGGGCCTCTCGCTGGCACCGAACACCACATCGTCCGCCGCCCGCACTGTCACCCCGCCCAGCGCCGCGATGCCGGTCATCCCCACCAGCATATCCACGCCCAGTGGTTTGTCCGGCACTACCACGGCGCTGAGCGTCACCGCGGGCCCGCCGCTCTTCAGCTGAACCGCCACCTCCGTTACTCCGCTGCTTGGCAGCCGGGACCCGTTGACGGCCATTACAGTCACGCCGCACCGTCTCCAGCTCGCGCAGCACGACTCGTGGATGATGGTGCAGCTGCAGCCCGAGTCGATAACAGCCACTCTGCGCTGCCCATTCACCAGCAGCTGCACCGTCGGTAGCGCGCCTCTTACTCTTGGGCTGCCCGAGAGGAGGTTGGCGCAGACACCGCCTCTCCTGACGCGTTTCCCGGCATCCGTTCCGGGCAGCGTGCCGCGGCGTGTCCTGGCTGCTCGCACCGGAAACAGATGATGTCCGCTCTCCTCTCCGCCCGGCAGTCACGAGCGAAGTGACCGGCTCGACCGCAGCGGTAACACCGTGATGACGCCGGCGTGTGGCGGGAACGGGCCGGCGCAGCGGCGGCAGCGGCTGCAGCGACGGCATTCTCTGCCATCAGCGCCCGAGCCCGCTCCACCAGCTCGGCCAGCGTCAGGCTCTCCATGCGGCAGCCGGCCCTCAAGGTATGCCTCGCCGCATCCGGGAGACCGGCCACGAAGCCGCACATCAGCGCCGTGTCGCCGAGCCCGCCGAACAGGGAGGCCAGCCGCCGCAGGTCTGCCAGGTAGACGTCGACGCTCTCGCCGACACGAAGTCTTCTCGCCGTGAACTCCTCGTACGCCTGGAACTTATCCACAGCGAACGCCCGCAGCAGGGCAGCTTTGACGGCAGAGTACTGCAGCTTCTCCTCGGGCTTCAGCTGCTGGTAGACGCTGAAGGCTCCGCCGGTCAACCGCAGGGGGACGACGGTTTGAATGTCGGACACTCCGCGCAGCTGACAGACGAGCTCCGTCTTATCCAGCCACTCTTCCACAGAGGCGTTACCGCCATCGAACTCGGGGATTAGCCGCATGTCCAGCGCCGAACTTGCCACAGCGCTTTCCTGTGACATGGTTGCCGAAATAGCTTGTAGTAATGCCAAAAGTCCAGTACACTCAGATGCCTCTATTCACACCCGTACCCGCTCGTGTCCCGGAGCGCACTGCCCGGCTTCACCACATTAGCCTAGATCATACCTCTGTACACGTCATATCACGTCATATCACGTCATTCTGAACCCTAGACAAAGGCTGATCAATTTCTCCCTCCGCCGACTCACCGGCGCCATAAGACCCTGGCTCGCAATACGACGCGCACCATCATCGCTCGAACCACGCAATGACTAAGACACAGACTACAGACGCCCCAATGTTTTTTTGTGAAAATCCACATCCATGCTCTAGCATCGAAGCCCATGGTAGTGACACTCATAATTGTGAATTTCTTAATATAATTGTGGGCATGAAAATTTTCGCAGTTGGTGGATAACATGACGTCATAAATATCCCTAGTTTTTCTACCTCGGATTTTTTGTATAAGATGACCTAAGCATGGGTGAATTTGTATATCATTTGGGGTGCTTCAGCATCCCAAATGCTAGATAGAGCACCTCCAATAAGACTTGAGCACCCCAACAGGGGCACCCCACAGGTCACAGCAGCACACGCACGTGACGGTTTTTTCGTAAAATATTTTGTGACCAACGGGCTTTATGCTACAATCATTTACCTACAACATTATTCTATACGATTATTTACTTTACGAACTTAACGTTACGATCTTTTGTCGTACGATCTTTTTCATACGATCAATTGCTTTACGATCTTTTGCTTACGATCTTTGGTCGTACGATCATACAACATACTAAAAAAAATCAACTAAAAAATTTGACCTTTTTTACCTGAAAATGGCTTGACCTAAGTAAATTCAACCTAAAATGACCTCGAAAGACATCAACGACATCGAATTCGAAATATATGGCCTAAATGGACCATAAAACATGTGTCACGTGACAGACCTATGATATAAGATTTCCGTGACCTGTGATGATCTGACCCGGACCTGAAAATGTACAAATTTGATACCCTCAGGGTATCTAAAGCATCTGTTCACGAGTATGTAAACAAAAAATGAGTCTGATCTGACTTGTAAGACGGCGGCCAGAGCCCAAAATGCGAACAAGCAAAACATCGATTATTTTTACTTTGACCTGACCTGTGACGTCATCGGTGACCTTGAGGTCAATGAAATTAGGTTTCGCACAACAGTTTTTCCGGGGCTATCAGATGCCGTTTGAATTTTGACGATCGGACGATCGGGATGAATAGCCCCCCCCCCCCCTCCAGTAGGGCGCGTTATATGCAGACTCCAGTGGGGCGCGGGTTAACATAGTGCATGTATTTGCAAGAAAAGCCGAAAGATGTAGACAGCCAAACATAGGTATATCATAAGTAGACGTTATATATCCAAGAACTCCACCAAAGGAAATGGCAGGTAAAACATCCGACATGCACGAGCGTTTGAACATCTTTCAATATCAAAGCGTCAAGTTATCGAGCCTGAAATCCTGTAAGGTCACCTTATCAGGTCAGGTCACAACCCGATCGCACTAGATACATTATTGCTTATTGAGGAACATAGTGATCAGACCACAAAGAAACGATACAAAACCACCCATTGCAACTTTTATGACCACAAATAACAAACATAGGTATGCTATCAATGTCGCCAAGCTATTGTTCAAATCGAAGGCGTTTGTCGGCTGGAATCACTGACTGGACCGATCGCTCAGTTCAAATATCTTGCACACAGGCACCGGGTCCTTCTGGCATTCCTTGGAGCTACAGTCGAGCTCGCACGCGCCCCACTGGTTGTACGGGTGCTCTCCGGGCTCCAGCGGCGGCTTCACACACTTCAGACAGCGGCCGCACTTGGGCGATCCGGCGAACTGGGCGCCGCACCTCTCGTGCAGCTGTTGGGCGCAGACAGTGCAGCAGTTGCACACGTCCAGCACCTTACCCCAGGGCGCGCACTGGGCGTCAGGGGGCTCCGGGGCACACTCGTAGGTGCCGCAGCGGGCGCACCTGAACGCCTCGGTCGTGGACAGCAGGGTGACCAACACCACCAACAGAATGAAACGGAACATGGTGCCACTCGTACTGTGCCTCTCAACGATTGAAGCGCACTGACAAGCCTGCGGTCTGGGTGACGGCTGGCGCTGTACTGAACAAAGCCAGGGTCCTAAATACCATCAAAGCTGACGGGCGGCCCTGAACTGACTGCGCAGAACGGGCAGCCCCAGCCGTGACGCAGGGCCAGGTGACGCGGCGATTCGACGTGGCGTGACGTGCGCCCAGTGGCGACCAGGCTCAGATGACGTTGTTAGTGCTCTAAGAATCATGTTATTCCCCAAAGACTTGTTAGTGTTTCCTCCTCTATCGCCATTGTCCCGTGCTCCCATTCCCATTTGGCTGTTATTGGCCGTACTCACCCACTTTTTGGTTGCGCTCCTCATCTACCACAACCTTGGGTGAGACGACGGTACCTATTACTGGGGACAACTAACAAAGACAACGAAGCAGGAGTGGAGTTAAAAAAAAAAACGAGAGAAGGAGAGAAAAAGAAAGGAAAAGGGGCCGCTGTGTGGGGATGGTGGGCGGGGGACGCGCTGTCCGCGGTCCATCTCCGCTCCCCGCCGGCCTCTGCCGCAGACTGACGGCTGTCCCCTCCGTCCCGTTTCCCCCTCCCTCCCCGTCCTCGCCCCCTCCCCACAGAGTGTTCTCCCGACCCTGCCTCGGACCAGGCGGCTCGCGGAGTCTCCAATTCGCGCCTCGTCGAGCCACTAAACTTCATTAGGGGGCCCTAATGTCGATTAGTGTTTCCTCCTCTATCGCCATTGTCCCGTGCTCCCATTCCCATTTGGCTGTTATTGGCCGTACTCACCCACTTTTTGGTTGCGCTCCTCATCTACCACCAAATGCCCCAACTGGAACCGATAGGCAATTGTAGTGTATTGGCACACTCAGAGTCGATAACCGGACAGTGGCGACGGTGTCTATTATGACCCCCAAAAGTTCGATATATAGCGACATATCGCCTGAATGTGATCGTAGACGGCGACCGCGTCGTCCGTGTCACCCCGACCGACACCACAAAGCTCCCATCGGGTGGGACAGGTCTAAAAAGAGCCGGGCGTCTGAACAGGTCCCCTAGGGAATCCGTTATTGGTTTCCCGAGTAATCGCAGCACACACGGCCCTGCTGCGCCGCACGGCGGAGCGGTTGTCGCGGTGAATCTCCACCGGCGGCCCCCTCTGAACCCTATCCGCTGAGCTCTGACGCGAAAGCGGTACAAGACGACCTCCGCGTTTCTAGGTTAACATTGGGACAGCCCCGGAACACTTGGTCAAGTCTCTCGACGCCTATACCGGTGTAGGCGGGCACGCGTCTCGCGCCGCGGCAGGTGTTGCACTCACCTGGGCACTAGGGAAAAACACCGCCGCGGCTCACCGGTCCCCGGCCGCGGCCCAATGCCGGGCCAAAACCGCCACCGCCGATTGGTGCTCCGTGGTAACCTGTAGGGTGGACCTGAGAACCACACTCGGTACACGGCGGGTGATACCTGTTCTCGGGGCACGGGAAACGGCACACGTTCCGTTGAACATGACGCATACATGTCACTCGGCCATTACGAAACCCTCCCCCGGGGCCTGGGTTCCCACCATTCCGCACGGGGGCCGCGGGCACCGCGAACCGGTCCAGATCATCATGCGTCATGAAATCTCTCGGCCGCATGGCCATGGCCTGACGCGCCCGGCTATCGGCCACCTGTACGTCGCGGAGCGAGCGCCGCGCACACAGCCCGACAAGCCAACTCAGGTACCCGACCACCTGCAACCCGCACTCAGGGAAGTGAAACACTGTGTGTGTAAGCAAGCCGGCCACACGGTCGACATACTCCATGGCCGTGTTCGGCCGGCCCTCTGCGGCATCGTAAGCCTCCTCCACTGACACATACAGGCGCCTGTTCCGTAGCCGCCGCTCGGCTCTGACTTGGATCGCAGGCAGCCGCAGAGCCGTCGGCGCCGCCCCCGTCCGTGACCGCGTCGGGGCGGCCCGATACTCCACCCTCCGGTCGATGCCGTCCTCTTCGTCAGACTCCGACTCTGATGAGTACGACAGGTCGTCCCGCCGTCGGCGGCGCGCCGGTCCCTCATCGCTGCTGTGTCGGCGGCGCACCGGTCCCCCATCGCTGCTGTGTCGGCGGCGCCGCCGCCGCCCGGTGCGGCCGCGCTGCTCCGGGTCCGCGTTCCGGGGCTCAGGGCCGCCGCCGTGCCGTCGAAGGTCGCCGAAACGTGTCGCCGGCGCCGCCGAACCAGCCCGTTCGCGATCGTCATCATACCCCAGAACGTCATCGGTCCCTGCCCATCGTCCCCGTATGTACGAGTCCTCCGCGCTATAACAGCCGGGCCGCCGGGGTCGTGCCACCGGCTCTCGGTCACGGCCGCCAGCCGCCGGCCCTGTACCCGGCCCACACGGCCCCGCCCCCACTGCCGGGGGCCCACTGCGGAAAGCCGGGCCCGGCGCCGTCGCCGCGCCGGCCGCCGTCACCGTAGCGGCGGCCGGGGGCAGGTGATCGCGCTGTTGGCTCTGATGGTGGATTGCTGCATGCGATCGCACACCTTCGTGACCGCCGCCGCGTTCGTCGCCGGACCCCGGATGCATGCCGCCATCCTGGCGGCCCATCGCGAGTGCACAGTCTAACTCCGCTCGCAGTTGGGCGTCGATCCTATCTTGTTCGCCGCTGGCAGCGCTGAGCGGCCGCAATCCTGACAGACGGTACACACGGTCATAATCTCGACTAGTATACGTTTGGACAAACACGCACGACAAAAAAGATACCGATAGTACCAGACTGAGCGCTAATGGCCCGACCCCGCCACTGCGACCAAGGCCTCGATTACTGCCCTCCTGTGTCCCCGGACGTATCCGTCGCACGCTGCACTCCGCCACCGTCCCAAGCGGCGCAGTACAGGGTCGGCCACACCCGCCGCCGCCGCAGCCGTGGCCAGACCAATCCGCAGGGAGTGAGAAGAGAATCCGGGCCCAAGCGCGCGACGGAGAAGATCATTCAGCCGTCGTCGCGTGAGCACTGCTCCCGAGTCCAGTACAAAGAGCGGCGCTCCATCCGCCGCGCGCCCTGCCTGTCGGTACAGGTACATAGCTTTCACAGGACAAGTGGACGTGCCTGTTACTGGGAGCTCGACGGCCGTTGGCGGTCCATGCTGTCGGTTTTTTTGAATTCCCACCAGTACCCGAAGGCCGACCGATGTGAAAGACACATCACCATGCCGTATTCCCCGTCCGTGGCCGGTGACGAGGAATTCGCTGCTCCGCAGGCCGCCGTAGAACGCCAGTGTGCATGCAGCCCAGACGCACCGCTGGTCCCAAGCCGATGGCAGTAATGATGCCAAACGGGTTTTCAGGCGGCGAAGAACCGATATGTCGATCGCCTGCCGGCGGGGCTCCGTACCGCCGCCCCGAGGCTCGTAGCCACGAAGCGCGGCCGCAGTGTAGGGGGGCATGCCCATTGGCAGCGGCCGACCCCACTGAAGATGAAGGTGTCTCACTGCTGCCAAATACTGCCTCACGCTAGCGACGGCTAGTCCCGCCCGTTTCAGGTGACCCACAAAATATGTGAGTGTGTCATCCGACGCCGGAACGCTTGTCAGCCCGTACCGCCTGCAGAACTCAATGTACCGGCGTTGGCCCGTCTCATAGGCTCGACGGGAGCCCGGCGCCAGGCTGTTTCGTAGCAATTCGTACGTCACCGTCACTAATGGAACGTCACTGTCGCACGGATGCGCGCCGCCGTTGGGAAACCCTGGCCACCCACTCGCCATCACGGCCGTGCACGTACTGCTCAAACGGCCGGTGGTCCCGCCTCGCCCCCCCCCCCCCCGGACGCCGCCATGCAGCCATCCCCTCGACCGTCCCGCCCGCCTCGGCCGGCCCGACGCTCCCCCACCCGACATCTGACCTCTCAGCTGACGCCGGCTATGGTCCAACAGCCATGTGACACCTTCCGAACAGGATACGCTCCCAGGAGATTAGTGATACTCCCACCAGACAGAAGAGTGATACTCCCCCCAGACACGTGATACTCCCAACGGACCAGTGATACTCGATTCGTGTCCCGCCGTCTGGGGCGGGCCTGCCATAAAGGGGAGGGGAGGGGTCCAGGGTCGTAAACCATCTGTGGCCCGGCTCCGCCGGTTCGACCGCAGCCGGCCCGGCACGGATGCCGCCGCGCACGGGCCCGGCACGGACGCCGCCGCGCACGGGCCCGGCACGGACGCCGCCGCGCCGCCGTCACTGAGCCCCGCCGCGCGGGCGGCCCGGCACCCTCGGCCACCCAGGGTCGTAAACCATCTGTATCCCGGCTCCTCCGGTTCGACCGCAGCCGGCCCGGCACGGGCGCCGCCGCGCCGCCGCCACCGAGCCCCGCTGCGCGCGGGCGGCCCGGCACCCGTCGATCACCACCCGTGTCGGCGCTGACAGTCTGACGGCCTTGCACCCGTGCTGTTGGCCGCTAGCCGGCCCAGTGTCGGCGCTGTCGGCCTGAAACGGCCCGGCACCCGGTCTGTCGGCCGCTGTGGCCCTGTGTCGGCGCTGTCGGCCTGAAACGGCCCGGCACCCGGTCTGTCGGCCGCTGTGGCCCTGTGTTGGCGCTGTCGGCCTGAAACGGCCCGGCATCCGGTCTGTCGGCCGCCTTGGCCCTGTGTCGGCGCTGTCGGCCTGAAACGGCCCGGCCCCCGGTCTGTCGGCCGCGGTGGCCCTGTGTCGGCGCTGTCGGCCTGCACGGCCCGGCGCCCGGCGTCGGCCGTTACCGGCCCAATCTCGACGTCGTCGGCCTGAACAGGCCCGGCACCCGGTCTGTCGGCCACTGTGGCCCAGTGTCGGCGCTGTCGGCCTGAAACGGCCCGGCACCCGGTCTGTCGGCCGCCATGGCCCTGTGTCGGCGCTGTCGGCCTGAAACGGCCCGGCACCCGGTCGATCGGCCGCAATGGGCCCTGTGTCGGCGCTGTCGGCCTGAAACGGCCCGGCACCCGGTCTGTCGGCCGCCATGGCCCTGTGTCGGCGCTGTCGGCCTGAAACGGCCCGGCACCCGGTCTGTCGGCCGCCATGGCCCTGTGTCGGCGCTGTCGGCCTGAAACGGCCCGGCACCCGGTCTGTCGGCCGCCATGGCCCTGTGTCGGCGCTGTCGGCCTGAAACGGCCCGGCACCCGGTCTGTCGGCCGCCTTGGCCCTGTGTCGGCGCTGTCGGCCTGAAACGGCCCGGCACCCGGTCTGTCGGCCGCCATGGCCCTGTGTCGGCGCTGTCGGCCTGAAACGGCCCGGCACCCGGTCTGTCGGCCGCCATGGCCCTGTGTCGGCGCTGTCGGCCTGAAACGGCCCGGCACCCGGTCTGTCGGCCGCCTTGGCCCTGTGTCGGCGCTGTCGGCCTGCACGCCCCTCGCCCGGCGTCGGCCGTTTACCGGCCCAATCTCGACGTTGTCAGCCTGGAACGGCCCCCCTCCGCTGCCGGTGTAACAAACACACGCACAACACGACACATAACAGGTACCCGGTAACTCGTCAACACAGCCAGCCATATCACACCTGACCCATGTGGAGGACGCTGGTGCCGGCGTACCGGACCCACCTGCCATGCCGTGACTGTCGCGGTCGTAGTGATAAGCGGTGTCCATGCCCCGTTTCTCCACTGAGTCGTCCTCGATGGTGCTCACTAGGCGCCGTACCCACACTACTCACGAGCCCGACTCACAGGACGTAAAGCACACGCTCTATCACACAGGGACGCGCTGTCCGCGGTCCATCTCCGCTCCCCGCCGGCCTCTGCCGCAGACTGACGGCTGTCCCCTCCGTCCCGTTTCCCCCTCCCTCCCCGTCCTCGCCCCCTCCCCACAGAGTGTTCTCCCGACCCTGCCTCGGACCAGGCGGCTCGCGGAGTCTCCAATTCGCGCCTCGTCGAGCCACTAAACTTCATTAGGGGGCCCTAATGTCGAGTAAGTACGAAACGCGCTTAACAGTGGCATATTGTAGGCGGCGATCATAGTTTTACGCTCCTGATTTCACTCTCACATTTCGCACGAAATAACCTTTAACCGGTCGGTGATCCTTCCTATAGGTATCCCTATCTAGCTTAATCGAAGCCGAACACTGTGCCTAAATCTCACATAAAATATCCACGCATTTTTTAAAAATAAATTTAGCTCGAATGTTTGAATGGACAGATTGACAGAGCCGGAGCCCACGCTAAGCAGAGCTTGTTGCGTAGACCCCGACCCCTACCGTCCGATCGCGCTATTCCGGGTAACGAGAGAATTTAGATGCCAAAGTTTAACGTGCCCTTCAAAGCCGGACACGGCCTGTCCCACTCAACCGACTTCAACTGGCTGCGGCTGCTCCCACCAACCGCAGACCATCCCTGTCAGGAGTCTCAAATATCGAGTGCCGGAGCGTCTCGAACCCGGGCTCTCACTACCGGGAGTTGGGTGCTCTACCAACGGAGCGACGGGACATTTGCGGTGTCCTATACGTGCGATTAAGACATTCAAAGCGCATCGATGAAAGATAAAATTGAACATCCACGCTCTCTAACCGTCTAGATCCTGATGGACTTACGAGCAAGGATTGTTATTCCTGAGAAGGCACTAGGCAGTAGGCACCAAACGTACAATTATTGTGAAGCGTTTTTCACAACTTACTGACCAGTGCTTATTGTGAACGAAGAAAGTGATCGGCCATACGCCAGCCGTGCCGTCCGTCCGTCCGTCCGTCGATCACGTGACGCTCTCGGGCGGTCATCTGATACCGATGCGGATCGAGACGAGACTATAGCTAGAGGTGGCAAAATGTGGACCCGAGGACCCGGTCCAAAGAACCAGTCTGGACCCATATGGGTCCAGACCGGTTCCTGGAAATTTTATGACGGGTCCAACCGGGTCCTACCATAAACTATACATCTTGCACACTACACATTATTGCAAAAAAGTGAATGAAGTTAATGTTTCTTTGCACACACTTAGCACATTATTATTCCCAGTGGGAAATAGGCTGTTTTACATGATGCAACTAATGACACCTACAAGTAGTTTGTATTAATTGACTTTTGGGGAACGGGTCCAAATGGTTCCGATTCCAACTAAGACCGGGTCCGACTGGTTCCAGAAATGTCCAGCCGGGTCTGGTTCGAGTCTGGTTCCCAAAATTTTCATCTTTTGCCACCTCTAACTATAGCTCAGCGGTGGGGGGGGGGGGAGGCAGATGTCTCGGATTGTGTTGCGTGCAGTCTGTGTTGAGAGCGTCATGCGAGCGGTGAGAGAGTGACAGCGGTGGATTTGTGTGCCGAGTGCCGACCGAGCAGCGGTGTATATAACACTTTCCGATGATTTGGGAAGCTGCCTCGAACTTTTACATTTGACCAAAGTCATTGTCCTCATGTAAGCATGGATTGCGTCTTTCTCTCTTCGTATGAATGCATTAGAATTTGAAATGCTACATGCGAAGAGCTTCACAGCTCTACAGGGCCTGCACTAATAATGCAATGCGAAGAGTGCATAACTTGTGAACGAAAATGGACCGCTAAAGGTAAGCTATTTTTACCTACAAATAAGTGACACCAATTTGGAAGCTCTCAATGACCCATATCTGTCCGGCTATCGGTGTTGAACGTTAACGGATCTAGTTATATCAATGTTTCTGTGAACTATTCGTCCGGAGGCCGTCCCATACTTGAATAGCATGCCGCCATTGCCAAACTTATTTTATCTCCCATATCGCTTTTTATAGTAGGGGAGAGTGGGGAAAGATGCCCAGGGTTTTACTTTGTCATATATTATTCGAAAATGACGATCGGAAAGCAAAAACTTGGAGTTTCAACGGAAGGCGACATCATTTTTCTCCAAAAATATCACACTTTTGTGCCTGAAATATGATAACTTTTTTTGCTATTAAGCATTTTTCTGAAGATGTGAAAGGGGGCGTCTTACCCCACAGGGTGGGAAAGACGCCCCCTGGCGTTGGGTAAGATGCCCCCTGCACTATAAGTGACATAAATGGGTACGTGAATCGCCTGAACGAATCAGTAGTCCCTTCGAGCCTGCAGTAGACACCAAACGTCATCGTAAGGGCCCTCAAAAGTGGTCGTAAGGGGCTTCAGAGGTCATCGTTAGGGCCATCATAGTTCAGCGCGGCCAAACAAGCCTCCGTGGTGGCGTTCGGAGACCACTGTGGGGCCCTTATAGGTCTTCATGATGCTTGAGGGCCCGCGAGCCCATTGTGAGGACCTCAGATGCCAGCGCGGTCCGTGAAGCCAACGTGGGAGCCCTCAAAGGATGTCGTGTGGGGCCCTGGAGCCAATAATGGGGCCCACAGAGGCCGTCGTGAGGGCTCTCAGAGTCAGATGCCGCCCAAAAAGTCGCTGTGTGGGCCGAGAGACCGGCATGGGGAGCAACCGACCGTACTGGACTCTCAATAGTCCCAGATCGGCTTTTGTCTCTCATCACAAGCATGTAATAAATGATTTGACGGGCTGCTTGAAGGACAGCCTACGGATTTAGGGGGGCGTCTTTCCCCATCAGGACAGGGGGCATCTTACCCCAAGGTACCGAAGTAACATTAAATCAGTACAATTTGTTAGCCATAACACTACACCCTGAAACAAACTGCTTGGGACACAGTACACGCATGTTAATGTATCACGACTATAGCAAGGGACGCAAAAATTATCTACCTTGTTTGATATTTACAATGTTTTGACACCAAAATATTTTTTGAAAGCAGCAAATAAAAAACATGCATTCACCATCCAGCCGTTGCCCAACTGAGCTTCGCAAATTTTTGTGCAGTTAACAAGGCAGGCTTCCGCTTTACGCTAAGAACATTAATTTCCGGGTTCGATTCTTTGTTTCGCCGCTAGAGGGGGTGGGGCGTCTTTCCCACCCTGGGCATCTTATCCCACTCTCCCCTACCTTGGTAAGTGAACGTTTCACGCAATGCGAATTGTCGTGTTTCTGGTCAGACATGCATCAGACTTTCAGTTTTTATTTCACATCTTTTCATATCGACACTGGAAACCAATCGTCATGCGTATGGGTATTCCCATTCTTCTGGCAGTCCCATAAGCGCATACACCTCATCGTTTCCGAGCAAACGCGCGGATCCATCGCTCAGCTGAGTTATCAGCAAGGCAGTGCTGCGGTGAGGTCATGACGGAAAACTCGCTGAACAGGTCTCAGATCATCATGTAGACCATCTTGGGTACGACCATGCTGTGTTCGCTGACGATGGGTTGCAGCAGGGCCGTGCTGGCCGGCGTATCTGCCGCCACCATCCCCAGTCCGTGCATCTGACGCACCAGGGCGCGCTTCTTACGGAACACGTGCGCGTAGGGCAGGGCGGAGTAAGTCAGCACGCGAGTAGCCGGTATCTCCAGCTCCTTCTCGTTTTCTACGAGTAGCTTGGTGTTGGCGGGGGTGTCCGCCTCCACCGGGTCCAGGGTGGCTATGCGCAGCTTGGCCTTCTCCTGAACGCCGACCAGCAGGGGATTGCCGGCCGCCACCGCCACGCAGGCGCACAGCAGAGCCTGCAGGAGGAGGGAGAGGGGCGGGGGGATCAAAGATGACCCTAGGGTAATAAAAAGTGGGCTCTGCAATAGTGGACCGAACGGGCCTAACCCAACAAAAAAGAGCACGTGATAGGCCGTTTCGTTATAAGCTCATTATTTTTCTTGGAATTTTGTCTAATTGGATAAAACCCCGAAGCCAGCAGGACAATTTGCGAAGAAGAATCAGGGGAAAAGGACTCTAGCACAATACAAACTTCAGGCAAAGATGCGAAAGACATTTATTTGCTGTTCAGTTCTGGATAAATGGTAAGAGTTGAGCAAGTTTGTAGCTGGATTATATGCAAAAATACAACTTGAACTCGTAAACACGACGAACACGACGACTTACCGCCTTTCACTCTCAGCCTTAGATAATTTTTATGGTGCCCTGTCCAATGCAAAAAAAAACCTAGAATAAATTGTGGGCCTGCAGACGTTCTGAACTCATTGCTTCCAACAAAGAACATGCCAGTATAGCCTCAGTCATCTCTGCACCCAGAACTAAGGTTCTGTCAGCGGTTTAGGAAGGATGGTGACAACCAGCGCCGTCTCTACTTACCGCAACGATGGTCTTCATTCTGAGGCTGTGTCAGGCCCGACTGACTGCACTGAGACACCGTTTGTATTTATACTCAGACTCTGTCTACCACGCCCGTTGTATGCGTCCACCACGCCCGCTGAGTGCCGCAATTGCGCAAGCTGCATCATTCGACGAGACTACGATCAGATGATATCGCCCACCTCCCTTGTTCGTGGTGAGAACAACCATAGATGCACATTGCACCGAACCTGTTTGTATTTGCCCGGGACCAGTTGTTTGCAGATTTACAGGATCTTCAAGGACGCAAGATGTTAACGAGAGCAGAAGGAAAGTATAACTGGAGAATTGAGTGTTGTGTGAGGCAGATCTTAGGTCAAATATTTTTTTTTAAGAAAAATATTTGGCAGACCCAATACTTTTTTAATCTCAAGAGCAAGTTAGGCAATGGACAATTCAATGGTTAATTATTTGCAATGCAATCAATTCAGATTACCTAAGGTTCTAAGACAGTGTGCGTCACCAAATTTGAGCACCCCGTCCTAGACGTATACATACGGGAAAGGAGTCCGGTGTGTTTCAGTTCTCTTTGGCCAGCGCGTTCCGAGAAATTGCAAAAAAAAAAAACGTCTGGGGTGTGACACTGTGGCAGCCTCTCAGCCGCCGAGCGTTAAAGGTAGTGTGCCACCTTTGAAAGATTTCCCATTTTATTTTTCCTAGGATAAGAAGCTTCTGTTTTTGCCTAATATCGCAAAAAAATCGAAAATGGGCCTGGA